CACCAATGTAAAGAATTTCCTAGCCAGATTTTGGATAATTTAAGCATCAAAATAAATAATCTATGTGCACAGGTGGGGGTAGTGAGTACTCTTAAAGTTCATACCAAAAACTATTTGTATCTAACCCCCAAATTTGACTGAAATTTTTAAAAAGAGATAAAAAAATTAACCACTTATAATCTAAAAAAATAAGTAAATAAATATAGTAACAGATTATAATCCATTGAATGAAATAAAAATTCATGAGTCCATACTTATATGTGGAGAAGAGAAAGCTTTTCTTTAAACTGCTAATGAATAAATGCAGAAGAATAAAGCAGTTAGAAAATCACAATTTGAAAAGCATCAGAGTAATAATTCAGCTATGAAACATGAATGGATGCTAAGGATATTTGGGAAAAGTTTAATGAGGACTGGGATGTTTATATAGTTTCAAAGTACTTTTCTACAAAATCCTTGTCAATTACAAAGGTATAGAGAGTATCCTGAGTATCTTTTTTTTGAGACAAAGTGTAACTCTATTACCCAGGTTGGAGTGCAGTGATGATCCAATCATAGCTCACTGCAGCCTCAAACTCTAAGCAATCCTCCTGCCTCAGCCTCCCAAGTAGCTAGGACTACAGGTGCATGTAGCCACACCCAGCCTTTTATTTTTTTATTTTTATTTTTTTTGGTAGAGACTGGAGTTTCACTATGTTACACAGACTGGTCTCAAAATCCTGGCCTAAAGAAACCCTCCCACCTGGGCTCCCAAAGTGCGAAGATTATAGGTGTAAGCCATTGTGCCTAGCCTAAGAATATCTTCACAGAAGAAAAATCTGACAGTATCACTTTAGTAATAGTTATAATTACCAACAGTGGGACAAATCAACACCAAGTGCCGCCTGATAGGATTCCATGAAAACATGGTATCACTTCTGTGATAGTCCTATCAAAATGCATGAGCTGAATCTAACTGTGAGGAAATATCAGAGACACAGAAGTGAGGAACATTCAATAAAATAACAGACTTCACCTTTAAAAGCTTCAACATAAAAGTCAAGGAAGACTGAAAAAGACAAGAGATATGACAACTATATGCAACACACGATTCTATGCTAGATTCTTTTCTACAAAGGACATTACTGAGACAATGACCAAACTTTTTTTTTTTTTTTTTTTTTTTTTGAGTAGGAGTCTCACTCTGTTGCCCAGGCTAGAGTGCAACAGCACACTCAGGGCCACCACAGCCTCGACCTGCTGGGCTGAGGCGATCCTTCTGCCAAGTAGCTTAGAACCACAGGTGGGTACCACCACACCTGGCTAATTTTTTGATTTGTTGTAGAGATGAGATCTCACCAAGCTGCCCAGGCTAGTCTCGAACCCCAGGGCTCAGGCAATCCTTTCTCCTCCACCTCCCAAGGTGCTGGGATTATAGACATGAGCCACCGCGCCTGGCCAAAGAATTTCCTTGTTTGCAAGAATTACACACAGAAATAGTTGGACATGATAGAGCATTACATCAGCCACTTACTCTTAAATGTCTCAGGGGAAGAAAAGTTCTTTATGCTATTCTCATAATTATTCTCTAGGTTTGAAATTATTTCATGTTAAAAAAATATGAATTAATTATTTCAATTAATTTGAATTTGAATTATTTGGAACCTGTAGCCAAAATAATTTTAAATCAATTATTTAAATGAAATTAAATTATTAGACCAAAAAAAGTAAGCTGGGTACTTCCGAGTTAAGGATTTTCAAGGATCTTACATTGGTTCAGAGCAAGAGAGATGTACTATTTAACTTCAGCTAGGCATAGTGGCTCACACAGATACTCTCGTAATCTCAGCACTTTTAGGAGGCCAGAGTGGGAGGATTACTTGAGCCCAGGAATTCAAGAGCAGCCTAGGCAACATAGCAAGATCTTACTTCTACAAAAATAAAAAAAATTAACCAGCTGTGGTGGTGCATGCCTGTAGTCCCAACTACTCAGGAGGTTGAGGGAGAAGGATTACCCAAACCCAGGAGGTTGAGACTGCAGTGAGCCATGATGGTGCCAATGCACTTCAGCCTGGGCAACAGAGTGAGAGCTCGCCTCAAAAATATTAACTCAGTCACATATCTCTTAAACTTCATTTTTCACCATGTTCTGCCCTTTATTGATGTCCCACCACATTATCTGTCCACTTGCCCCCACAACATGTCAACCTCTTTCTTGCCTTAGGGCCTTTGAAATTGCTGATCCCTCTGTCTGGATTGGTCTCCCATGTTCACTCATCCTCCATTCATAAACTCATTCCTTTGGTCTTCCCATAATGGACACCTCTCCAGGGAAGTCCTCTCTGACATTCCCGAGAAATCGCCTCCCCAGAAGCCCACAGCCACACTCTGTTCAGAAAGCACACTTTCTCTCCTAAAATCAGGGAGTTTAGTGTCATCTTTTTTATGTTAATTTTTATAACACAGTCTTTCTCATTTGACACACCATATTCAATTTTTTCTTTCATAAATCATGCTGCTAAGTGCTAATAAAACACATAATAAAAAGGTAAATGGTCTCTGTATTAATCTTAAGTATCGCTGCCTGTAATATGATTTTTAAAACTATATTCTCAAATTACAGAGACCCTGGGGACTGATTGTCAATGTCTTTCATACATAAGAAAGCTTTACTACGGCTGTCCTATAACTTATGCAAAATCGGTTTTCTTCTCCTTTTTAAAAAAAATTTTTTTTTTTTAACTTTTTAAAAAGATTTTTGTGAATTTAGTCCTGGCTCAAAGTGCTCATGAGCTCAGCTTAACCACAGGAAAAACAGTTCCTTATAGTATTGGTACGTCACATGTGCGCCTCAGATAATCCATAGTTTTTTCTGTAAACAAGTGTCTAATGCGGGTGAAAGATTTTGTCATTTCCAGCAGGAAGTGACCTGGACTTCCACCAAGCAAGTGTCTTTAAGGGTCTGGTGATGGCCATTGGACATGAGCTGGCGAGTGATTAATATCATTAGACATGTCTGCAGCACTTAAGACGTGCAGAGTGTTTTACAATTCCTTTTCTTAGTCATAACTCACAGACTTGTGAAGGAGGCAGCTCCTGTCATTATTGCTTTGCAATTTGGATGCTGATCCACAGAAAGGTTAAATACCGTTTCCAGGGTCACGGAGAGTTTTCCTGACAGAGCCTACTTAAGCATTCATTGCCGCTGACACAGGGCTCCTGGGAGAAGGCTGTGGAGGGGGAGAGGAAAAGCTCCAGGCTATGGCGAGAGCACAACATCATAACCACATCACTGGGGACAGCCTTTCTTGTGTGCCACTAAAGACAATCACACCACGAAATGTCCAATTATGTCCAATTCTGGCTATTATTAAATAACATTATCCTCAGAAGTCCTGGGGAACAGCAAAGCTATAAACTGACTTAGAATGGGAAGTGAATGAAAATACGTTTTTTTCATTCCTACCAAGATGTACTGTTTCTTTTCTATCTATATTTTGTTGACACGTGTACCTTATGCTTACAAACACTAATGGAGTCCTAGCATGTGTGCTGAAGTCATTGGGCATTGTTTATTTTTTTTTCTGTCTAAGATACCCAAGAAAGATCTTATCATCAAATCAACACTTTCATTTTTTTGGAGTATAGGTTGACTATGGTTTTTCTGAAATGCTTGGGGCCAGGAGTATTTCCAATTTTAGATTTTTTTTAAATGTTAGAATATTTGCATATTCACAATGAAATATCTTGGGCATAGATCCCAAGTCTAAACACAAAACTTATGTATGTGTCATATACACCTTATGCTTATATTCACAAGGTAATTTTACTCAATATTTTTAATAATATTGTGCATGAAACAAAGTTGTGACTTTCTTTTCAATGAGACCTGGTACATGAAATCAGGTGTAGAATTTTTCCCTTGTGGTGTCATGTTGATATTCAAAATGTTTCAGATTTTGAAGCATTTCAAAATTCATATTTTCAGATTAGAAATGCTCAACCCATAGTACACAATGTTCAGAAAGGTTAAGTGACTCATCTGACATTACACAGCTACCTACCGCACCTTGTCCCCAGGTCAGCGATCCTCTGTACCAAGCTAAGTGTCTCTCTCTGACCATCCTCTGGTAGACATGACTTATATCCATAGATATGTGAGAAATAATGTTCATGAAGAAATGTTAATTTATGGAAAGGCATGGGTGGAGGGACTCTATCAGCAACGAGAGCAACTAATCAACAGCGAAAAATCTGAGTTAAATGTGGAAATACCCGGAAAGCACATGATCTGAAGACCTTTAAGAAGAGGAACTCATAATTGCTCAGTAATCACCAAACCCAGTTTACTTCTTATCCTAAAAGCATGGCCAAAGAGGAGGCTGGAAACCCTGATTAGCTCTAGGAGTCAGCTGTGACTCCAATTCAAGGCTATTAGTCCTCATAATTATTTGTTTAATCAGATCACCTTCTGAACATGGAAGAGTACAATAATGACTATTTCTCACATAGAAAGCAAATTAATCGTGTACAAATCAGATCTCTATTCTCCTCTCTGTTTGTTTCCAGTATTGATTTATTCCCATTACACTGTGGTTCACCAATACATTGATCATAAAATCTTGGCAGCTCTGGGGAGCTAATATCTAACCTGGAGTAGGCAAGCCAAGGCAGGGCCTAGGGCTTCTGAACAGATTTGAGCCTTCAAGAAATTCCTTACAGGCACACCACCCTCTAAGCAGAGGCCAAGCATAGCCCTTTAACTCACGTTTTCAATAGCAAACCAAAGACTTTTCACTGTGGGGCTTTGGGATTTGGTTTGTTTCCCCTTAGCCCTGTGACCATGACTTTCCTAGCATGTGATAGAATTCATTGTCTTTCTGCAGAGCTTCCCAATTGGTCCCCCCAGAACAGACTTGGCACCCACGGCAACACAAGCCGACCACAAAGTCTCCAGAATGAGAAAATGTTGGCAGCAAATAATATATTCAGCTGAGCGTTCTTCCTGGCAGTGGGAGTGAGAGCCTGATTTGGACCTTAAAAATTTAGTGGCAACAACAAATAAGCATAGGCCTGGAACATCCATCACCTCTTAGGCAAAACAAGGCAGGTAATATGAAAATAAGTTTGAGGTATTTGCAGCATCTCTCTGAATTTTTTAAAAGATGGTCGCCCTCCCATACAGGCCACGTTCATGGAGTCATCCAGCTCAGCATCTCTTGTGTGGAATCCAGGGCTCTTTGCATCTTTGACTGCCTCCCAGCACCTGAGGGTCAAGTATCCCACTGAGAGCTTGGAAAGAGAAGCCAAGAAGATTTGGAGCTGGTGCGAATGACTGTTGAGCACAGATGGCCAGTTATCGATGTAATCTGTGTATCTGGGAGGCATGTGCTATAAGAAGGCAGCTGCTAAACCAAATGAATCAAGCCACAGTTTTTAAGAAGGGAAAGTATGGATGAGAAAAGAAGTTTTGAATTTAGGCAGCTGTGTAGGGCTATGATCGATGCTTAAAAATTAGGATTAAAGGCCCTGACAAAAGGTCTTCCCAGCCACAACCCTAGGGAACATCAGAGCAATAATCCGTTTCACTGGAGAGGTCATTTTACAAGGTCAGCTGTAACACCGTTTTCCTGGTACACTGCGTGTGTTTGTAGTTCTATGGATGCTGTGTTTTAGAACAAGGTTTAGGCCCAGGTTTAAAAGAAGGTATTAAATTCCACATGTTCTCACTTATAAGTGAGAGCTAAACTAAAGGCATAGAGATGATATAATGGACATTGGAGACTCAGAAGGGGAAGAGGGGAACGGGTGGAGGGACAAAAAAATTACCTATCAGGGACAATGTGCACAGATGGGAGTGGTGGGTACACTTTAGGCCCAGATTTCTTCACCACTGTACAATGCAACCATGTAACCCAAAACTATCTGTACCTCCTAAAGCTATTTAAATAGAGAAAAAAAAGTTACATTTAAAAAAAGGAGGGATTGGGCTGTCATTGTCCTACGAAGGTAGATCAGAGAGTGCTTTTATTCCATTTATTGGTCACTTAGATGTGTGATTTCATCTGAATGGCTGGATAAATTCTGGATATTCTATCTAATCACAGTGTAGTCCATGTTACTGGAAAATGAGCCAACATCGCTTTGTTCTGGCTGTGTGCACAGCACTGAATTCTAATTGTGTTTCTCTATCTAAGCCCTGGAATGGAAACTGCCAAGATCAATTCATTTTGATAAATCAACTGTTTCTGATGGCTATCTACACTGAACTGCAGCTGCTGTGCTTTTTTTTTTTCCCTAACAAAATGATTATGAAGTAAATGTGCTCCAACTATTGCTTACATTGTTTTATTGAACTAATGAATTGCTCTGGGAAGCCTGTTACGAAGACTTTTGATCAATAATTGTGTATAAATTGTTTAAAAGGAAATGCATCATAATTAGGCTAACAAATTCGCTGTGAGGTTGCCTTTCCTAATGAATACATTTCTTGGAGATAGGGGACTAGGTACATAGGGGTACTTTGCATTTTTCTGCTTATTGATTTTCATACATTATAATATGATGGATTAACCAACATTGACTCTGTCGAGTTTAATGGAGAAAAAAATATCTTTTAATCCCTTTTTTAAAAATCCTCAAGAAGTGTGAGAGGAATAAGCATATGGTCGTCAAAAAATACTAGTGAACATTCACCTAGATCAAAATGAGGAAATGCATTTCAACTGTCACTACCATGTCATTACAGCCCCTCCTCAACTGCATTTATGTTGCCAAGAGGAATCCTCGCCAGATCAAAATTATTGGAATGAAGCCCAAGACAGCTGTGGCCTAGATCAAGAAAACCAAATGATTTTCAGTCTCCTAGATACCAAAAAAACAGGATATGTCATCGATGGCCAGTTAGTGATCTTGTTCTACACTTCAGTCCTGCTCATCTGAGTGTGACACTTTCTGTATAGTCGTTGGACTACCATTGCTCATTCCAACTTAAAGAGAAAACATTTTCATTTTCTTGAAGGTGTCTACTGTGAATTTTGGAACTCAGGCACCGAAGATACTGTCAGAGATTTCTGGAGTCTATAAAAAAACACCATCGATTCAATCAACTCTAGTGTCCTTCTATCTAATAACTTCATTGTCTAAAAAGCTGAAGAGAAATTGGCATGTAAACATATTCTAGGCTGGAGACTACCAAATGATAAGAGTATGATTCTGAATTTATTAAAATCTGACCTTACATATTATAAAAAAGAAGGAAAATTACTATATGAAGAGAACGTTTTTAGTCAAACCTCTCACAAGAAGTTTTGGGCACTGAGAAGTAATTAGCCTTTTATAGGTACCTATGTTTAAAGACGTTTAAGACGCTGTTAGTATTACGCTCTGTGAGATGAGATTTAGTGAATTAAAAATTATGTGGGTCAGATGAATGATGGCACGATCAAAGTCATTGGGACTTTATGCCTAAACAATAAGAGAGTTTCTGGGAGTTAAGGCTAGTACGTTTCTTAGGAAGAATCTTAAGAAACCATTTGCCCTTGACCCATAAAAGAAGACAAAAAGCGTCTCTTTCATGGAACTCCATTTTCCCTAGCACTTAGTGTCCTTCTTTTTACCATAAGGACCTCTTGAGCCTCCTAAATTTCCTTGTTCCATTAAGTTATTGTTTTTCCTCTGTAATAAATCTTCTCTCCCTCTAAAATAAAAATAATAACATCATGTGGTGAGGTAATTTGAAAAAATGTGCAGACTGAGAGCATAGATACCTCACACTTGAAGCCATTCATGTGGGAAAAGTTGCTGTCTGTGGTGGTTGTGCCCTGCTATCTGGTAAAAGTTATGAACACCCACTCGGGATATTGTTAAAGACCCGAAGTAAAATTCATAGGATTGGAAAAGAAACTGATTACATTGAAATGCAGTTAGCATTTTAAAAATAAATGTATGATATAATTATAGTTGTGCTTCTTTATTAAGGCATTAACTAAGAAAAAGTTAGTAGTAGTTATAAGTAATTTTTCAAGATATTTACTCCCATTACATTGTAATGTGGAAATATTTGCTATTTCTATTAGAGACAAAGTCATGAATGTTGCTAGTACTACAGAAGTTTGTAGTCTATATTCATAGTTGAGGGAGATGCCAAATTTTGAGATAATAAGGATGTAACTTTTTTCAAATCCCAACTCAAAGAGCCCAGATTTCTTTTCATGAGTCCTGGGTTAAAAACCCTGCTTTAGAAGAATAAAGTTGTGGGAAAAGTCTTCTCTATTGGGTTCTACTCTCCCCATCCCCAGACTTTTCCTGAATCATTCAAAATCCCCTTACATGTATCATTTTTCTTGCTGTTTTCTCTCCATTTCTTTTCTGTCATTCTTGCTTTTCTTTCTTCCCTCTCTCATTCCCTTCCTTCATTTCATATCTTTCCTTCCTTTCCATAATTCACTTCTCAACACTCTGAGCACATGAGCAGGTCCATTGAAACAGGCCCTTGAATCGGTCTGTCCATGGCAAACAGTGATTTGGGCAAAGAGGAAAAAGTACCCATAAATGCAACCAAAAGTAGAGAGGGATTCAGCTTGTTCTAGGTCAGGCCTCTTTGTCATAAACAAAAGAAAGAAAACAGCTTCCACAGCTCAGAATAAAAGTAGGTAGTTGTCTGCTAACCTTACTAAACATATAGTCAACAAAGCTACCTATTATCCAAAGTAGAGTATTTGCAGACATAATTTTATTACTTAAATGTCAAGTTTTTTCTATAGATTAAGATTTTATTAGTTAATCCCATTTTAAATATACATTAGTATTCATAAAACCCTAAAAATATTAATGGACAGTCAAGAAGATTATAAGGAAGTTCAAGTATCTAAAATTATTATCCACACACCTCAAATACACAACCATATACTGACACTAAAAAATGTAATAATATTTTACACACTTACATCCTTCTCCTCAAATAGTATTCTAGTCATAACTTGTATGACTATGCTCTTAGAGGCTTCTGAATTCTCTGGTTGTTCTTCTGGATTGCCATTGAGTAATCCAGAAGGCCGTTAAATTCCCCAGTAAGTAGTTAAAGAAAAATACTGAATAAATAAGGAAACAATAGGAATACAAGAGACTCATAAATGAAATCTATTTTTAAATTGTGCCAGATAGATTAAACTTACCAATAAGGGAAGGGAATTCATTCAATGTTAAATATTCCATTTCAATAAAGCACGTGGAACATCTAATATAATTTTGTATACAACCATCTCAACTAATTTTGCAACAAAAAACTCAGCCACTTGAGTAGAAAACTGTCTGAAAAAATAATGATAATTTGTAAGAACGCCAATTGGGGAAAAGCACTTAATATTATGCTGTCTAACCAAAGAAAAAAATTAGATCTATTTCAATTACTTCAATGCTCCAACATGAAACATCTCATGTTATTTTGATATTCATAATTTATCATGAGGAAGGGCCATTGAGGAAATGGTTAGAAGCATCTATATAAAAGCCACACCTGAATATGTACTTTTTTTTCAGGTGACTTATCTATTTCCAAGCTACATATGATAGTTTTCCTTGCTGGTTGTTTCTAGTGCAAATAAACATGATTTCTGATTCAAATCTTGGCTTCCCTGACCAACTGTGTGGCCATAAGCAGTTATTTTTCACCAAGTCCTAGTTTCTTCAAATATATAGATAATCCAACCAGGCAAAGTGGAGACCAAAGAGAGGCCCAAATTTTACCTGTGCAATGATGACCTACACCTAATCCAGAATTGTACCCCACATATTTATGTATTTATTTATTTTTTTGAGTTGAAGTCTCACTCTTGAAATGCAGTGGCAGGCTCACGGCCACCGCAACCTCGATCTGCTGGGCTTAGGCGATACTTTTGCCTCAGCCTTCCAAGTAGCTGGAACTACAGACACACACCACCATACCCGGCTAGTTTTTTTTGTGATTTATTGTAGAAAAGAGGTCTCACCAAGTTGCCCAGGTTGGTCTCGAACTCCCGGGCTCAGGCAATTCTCTTGCCTCAACCTCCCAAAGTGCCATGATTACAGGCTGAGCCACCGTGTCAGGCCCCCACATCTAAAAATAATGCA